ACTCAGGGAAGCCCACGTGATAATAAAATATAGCCCAGCCAGTCTTAAGGGTTTGACTATAGGGTCTTGAATAAGTAGAAGAAAACAACACATCATGAGGCTGGAACCAGATAACACACAGTTAGAACAATTTAATATAGGACAATGTGAGGTGGGTGGGGTGCGGTGGGGTGAGGGGGACAGCGTCAGAGATTGGAATAGAAACATCAAATACTTAGTTTTATTCTACCAATGTTGTTGAAGATAACTAGCATTAATTTCTAAATCATATGGAAAATTAATGTGTCCCAAGGAGGAAAAATAGGACTAATGGTGGCTTCTAATTATTTAATTAATGGATTTGACCTCGATTTCTCATCATACGGTGTTCTTATTATAATGTCTAAGATTCTACTCGATTTCAAAAATTTATCATTTAAATATGTTTTGCAGCATGTATTATTAAAATAATGTGTATAAGATTTGAAAGTTTCAAGTCAAGCAGATTAGCGCTAGAAAGATAAGGTCGAGTTTGGTAAGGTGGATTAAACCGGACAAAATATAAGGAGAATGCGAATGCTAGCATAGCAACAGTTTTAAACAACGCTCTAGCATTGAACCGAGAAAAGTCAAGGGCCCTCGATAGGTTAAACCAAGTTTTGGGGTTCACCTAGCTAGTTTTCATTATATTTCGTCCCAAGCTTTGGTCCCCGATTCCCTAGGACTTTTATAACATTGGTAATTAGGTGTCATATTGAATTTAGAATAATACTATATAGCACGAGTGGTGTTAGAGCACCAATCTAGATGGCCCACAATTGATAGGTTCAATCAAATTAATTCATGTGACATTGCATATAAGTGAATCTATTCTTTAATGGCATGCAGTTGCCACTTAAACTGGTGTAATATTACTCTTGAAATAAATTCCTTCAACTAAAATCCAAAGATGTAGTTGTATCACCAAACCTATTTAACACAAAAGGGCAATGACACCAACTACGGGAGACTCAATAAATGTGAAGAAAACTAAGTTTGTTGGATAAATAAAATAGTAACAAATCAACAAAAGGATGCATAAATGCATATCGAAAGAGGAAAACTTACTTTTGAGTAGCCATTGGGCATGTCTTGCACCACACAGCCAGAAGGAAGCCTCCTGCAGTTTGGAAATCTAGGTGCACCTGCAGCTTCTCGAATGGCATCAATCGACACATCCACAACTGCCCAAATGCCCTCTGCGTGCTGCTTGCAAAACCGGAGAAAATCAACCTTTCTAACTGGTATCAGTGGCGTTAGTACTTGTAGTTCAGCATGCATCTAGGAATAACATTATTGAAAACAACAGTAATTTAGTGCATGTTCGATGCAGAAGTCCGAAGAGTGCAATAGGCTTGATTTTAACTTATTTATATTCTTTAAGTCTTACCATCTGAAGTGCGCCATTTCTGGTCCCTCCCATGCCATTTGATATTAAATCAGTAGTTGAGGTTCTGGCAATCATACATGGGAACATTTCTTGCCATTTGTTCTATAAAGATGAAAGAAACCTTAATTAGTCACTGCCTTGATCATAAAAGAAAAGGGAATTGAAAGAAATTTACTAATCAAGCATCCCAACTAAAAGGAGTTAAGTGATTAAGCCAGCGATCATGACACTGAATACTGGACAAATTTTACTGGGATTAAGAAAAAGAAAGTACAGATCTTACAGTTTAGTCCAATATTAACCGAAAATGACACAAGAAATTCAAGAAATATTCACTCACCGAGTCCATCAAGGTCTCAACCAGTGCTAGACTGTTGATGATCGCCATCCCTGTCTCCCTCGAAGCTTCAGTCACAAATCCATTGGGCTTCATACCAATGCAAGGAGTGAAAGTTCTCATATATTCTTCATGGTTGAGCATTTCCTTTCCATTTTCCAAGTTCCTCAGCCAAAGGGGTTCATCAGTTTGCGCCATTTTAACCAGTTCATCCATTGCAGTTAAAGCAAGTTCCAAATACATCGATCTCTCCAATGATCTCTCAATTGGTGTTGCATTCATAGTCACCTTAGTTTGAGGCATCACGGGCAAAGGACTCGAAATTCCAACACCAAAATCATGAGACCCTAAAGGCAGTGTGGTAGGAACAACGTTCAAGTCTCCAAATCCATTGCTTCCGAATCCAAATTCCAAACTCTGGTTAGGCATTGGTGGTCCTATCATAGATGCCAACGATGAAATGGGACGGCCCAAAAACTTTCCTGCAAGGGCACAAACGCGATCTAATTCGTCCTTTAGCCTAGCATTCTCAATTCTTAGATGCTGCTCTTCAAGGGATATTTCGCCAATTATCGCAGCACCACCACAGTTGCTGCAGATAGGATTCTTCATTGCCTCCCTAATCGACATATTCTCAGCTCTTAACTTGTCATTCTCTTGCCTAAGCATCGAATTCTCATGGCGCTCAAGTTGTGTCTGGTGCAATCAGGAACACAAATTTCTCAATAAACCCAAAATCAAACACAAAAAGTGAAATCAGTCCAATTTTTCATCTTTTCGGGTAATCTATACCTTCATTTGAGTTCTTCTATTCTGAAACCAAAACTTCACTTGCCTAGTCTCTAGACAAAGCCTCTTGCTAAGCTCCAATCTTTGCTTCTCATCTGGATGTGGACACTCCTTGAAAAGACTAAAAACAAATAAAAAAACCCAGAAAATCAGCCATAAAAAAAAGAAATCATATGCAAAATCAGAAAGGAAAAAGGATTTCTTGAAAACAAGCAAAAATTTGAAAAAAAATTAATAAAAAAAGAATACGCTTCAAGTTCTTGGATTTGTTGGGGGGTGTGTCGGTGGTATCTTTTCTTCCTCGGAGGCTTGTCTGAAGCATCTTGATCATCACCTGATGCACCCTCCATGTTATCACTCCCAGATCTGCTTTCATGTTCTTCATCTCTACTTCTTCTGCCACCAACAATGCTTGATTCATAATTTTCCCCCATTCTTCCCACGTCTCCTTGCCCCTCCATGCCCGTTTGCTGCGAAATCAAGAACCCAGAAAAAAAAAATTCAGTACCAAAATAGTCATTCTAGACTGATACACAGAGACACAGACACACAGACACACACACTATATATATATATATATAGAGAGAGAGAGAGAGAGAGAGAGAGAGAGAGAGAGAGATGCATGTACAAGGGCAAGAGAGAGTCCAGGTGAGTTGAACATAGCCTTGGTGGAGAGAGACTGAGAGACAAGGTGTGGCTGAGCTATGGCGCCAGTGGGCATGTTGTTGCCG